CCTTAGACTTTCAATCAACTCAAACTTTTCAATATTATTTCAGGTACAAGCTTCTAACACAACTATTCATTTATATTATTCTAACACAACTATTCATTTATCAAATTAATATCTAACAGTCTTTTAACCCAGATAAATCCAAATAATATTATTTAAATTTCTGTGGTTTAAACCAGTCAAGCTATTAATATTAATCTAGAGTAAATATTTGTGCTAGAAATTTGTATCTGGAAATAATATTGAACAGATGTAGCCGAAGGCAATAATTTTAATGCTTCAACCACAAATCGAATGGTCATAATAATGAACTCCACCCAACACCTATTCATTCATTGGCAGCTTAATTTATATTAAGGTAATTTAAAACTTAACGCTTGATTTATTTCGTGAGTGGGGTCAACTGTAATGCGGGCAGCGGTAATTTTTATCACTAATCGTTAGAAGATTTTAAGCAATAGGTATATTATTATGTAGTGCCTAAGTTTAGAATTAATGCACATTTATTAAAATTTAATATATTTATATAAAAGTTCTGGAATGGCTGTGTCAGATCGATAGGCGGAGTGTAGTAAGGAAAATGGGGTGATGACCTGGTAACACGTATCACTGACTAAGGATTCTGTGTTAGTCTTGGAGAGACGTCTAAGATTAATTTTGGCCTTGTCATGGGATACCCACATGGTGTTCACAACTGTCATAGCGATATAAATGGAATAAAGCCGATCACAAGTGCACTGCTAAACTGACTCCATTGACTGCTTGCCTGTTCGTCAAACATCTGTGGGGAATCGCTCAACACTGCGCTTTCCAGTACGAGGTTGCCTCTTTAGAAACGTTCTTATCCATCGAATGTCGGTGTTAACATACAATTTGTTAGTTAAAACAAAATCGTAATTTTGACAGGCTTGTTGGTCTAGTGGTTAGTGACCCTGACTGCTATGCCGGAGGTCGTGGGTACGATTCTCACACAGGACAAATGTTTGTGTGATGAGCGCGATCATTTGTTCTGTGTCGGGGTGTAATTTATCTATAATATTTATGTATTTAGAAATATATAAGTATGTTTATCAGTTGTCTAGTACCCATAACACAAGCTCTGCTTAGCTTGGGACTAGATGGCGTTGTGTGATAGTTGTGGAATGTTATTATTATTTTGGGGTATCTATATAGTTTTCTCATCTGGTTGGGTGCTATAAATATATAATTATAAATGAAAATGAAAAGACAAATATACATAAATATCAATAACATAAAATAAATATAAAAGTACATAAATAAATAAAAGCCCAACCAGATGGAGGCCCTCGGCAGGAGAGACCAAACGGCCGAGGGTTAGGGGAAAGGGGAAAGAAACCGGCGGACGATGCGGGCGGTATCGAGGAGCACCGCCTTCTGCATTTGAACCTGGAGCGGTCCGCCACGTAGTCCCAGCCGCCTCAGATGACCCGAGAGGCTGACTGGGATTAGCCCGTTTGCAGAGACGACTACAGGAATAATTTCGGTCGGCAGACCACCCTACATGTCGGTCACCTCGTGAGCCAGGTCCAGATATTTTGTTTGCTTGTCTGTTTCGGCTTTCACGAGGTTCTCGTCATACGGAATGGTAATGTCGACCAAAAATATCCTTGACTGTGCCCGGTCCATCAGCACAATATCAGGCTTATTCGCAAGAATAGTCCTGTCTGTGATGATGGCTCGGTCCCAATAGAGCCTGGCGCGATCATTTTCGAGCACGGCTTCCGGCAATTACTTGTAATACGGCAATTTCCGATCCACGAGACCGTATTTCAGAACGAGCTCCTGGTGTAGAATTCTGGCTACTAGGTTGTGCCTGTGCAAGTACTCAGAGTTAGAAAGCGCCGAACAACCGGAGATAACATGCCTAAGTGACTCACCGGGATGGCGACAAGCTCGACAGATGTCGACGGTGCCATCCTTTAGGATGTATCTCCGATAGTTGTTGGTCTTAATAACCTGATCCTGTATTGCACAGACAAAACCCTCGGTTTCCCCGAAGAGATCACGAAAGCGTAGCCAGTGGAGGGAGGCTACTGTGTCTACGAAAGGCTCATGTAGAGCCTTGTAGAACCTCCCGTGGAGCTCCTTCTCCTTCCATACGGTCCCCCGGCCGGAAATGCTCTGCACTGCCGGGTCTTGCCATTGCTCGTTGGCTAAGGATAGAGGGTTAAGTCCTTTATCACAAGAAATGACGTCCTTATAGAATGGATCATCCGATCTCGCCAGGAAGTAATCACGGAGGCTGCACACTTCGCGATTATGCATGGTGAGCGCGCTCAAGAAGCCACGACCACCATGCTTCCGCGGCAAGTACAGCCTCATTGCCGACGATCTCGGATGATGCATCCTATGGGACGTCATTGTAGTGCGGACTTTTCTATCCAGGGCGTTAAGTTCAGTCTGAGTCCACCTGAGTATGCTAAAGGTATACATGAGGACAGGCATGACCCAGCCGTTATATGCGTGTGCCTTATTCACACCGGACAAAAGGCTGTTAAGCACTTTGGTCAAGCGTGCATAAAACACGTCGCAAACTGACTGTTTCATACCAGTCTCATCGATACCGATGTTTTGTGACATACCCAGGTATCGGTATGTTTCAGCCTCGGAAAGGGTCCTTAAGTTGACGGGCATAGATAAGTCTACGCCCTCAGAGTTAGCAACCCTTCCCCTTTCAACATGGAGGACCGCAAACTTATCCGTCCCCAGCTCCATTCCAATGGAATTGCTAAATTCACACGTGATGTTTAGCAATTCCATAAGATGGGAGCGACTGGAGGCGAATAACTTGAGGTCATCCGTATAGAAAAGGTGGGTCAATTTTGTCCCTCCTTTCCGTAGCTGAAATCCCCTCCCGGAGCCCTCCAGTAAGGTACTGAGAGGGTTCAGAGAGAGGCAGAACCAGATTGGACTCAGACAATCGCCCTGGAAGATACCCCATCTTATCCTTATGTGGTTCTCCGCAGCCATCATCCGCTCGCCCAGATGACAAAGGATCGTACTCCACTGCCCCATACACTGCTCGAGGAAGTCTCTAACCGTACAGTCTATCTTGTACAGCTCGAGGACTCTCTTTAGCCATGTATGGGGCACCGAGTCGAATGCCTTTCTGTAGTCTATCCAGGCGGCGGAGAAGTTCCGACGGTTGCGTTTCACCACTTTGCCAATGACCGCGTCAATGAGGAGTGGTTCCTTGGTTCCACGACCACCGCCCCGACATCCATTTTGAGCGCGCGACATCACCTGATTTGAGTCCAGGTGACAAGTGATTCTCGCGCTCAAAATGGATGTTAGTGTCTTGTATATGGTCGGTAGACACGTGATGGGGCGGTATTTGCTCGGGTCTGTGGTACCCTGGTCTTTAGGAACCAAATGAGTGATCCCAGTAGTGAAGAGGCTTGGGAGCGACTTCTGGTTGAGAGCCTCTTGAAACTGTCGGGCGAGCACAGAGTGACACACCATGAACCCCTTCACCCAGTAGTGATGCAGCCCGTCAAGCCCCGGACTTTTCCAGTTCGGGCTCCTACGGACCACCTCAGCTACGTCATCCGGCGTTATGATGACGGGGTCCATGGGCGTAATACCCGCACACTGACTCGCCTCAACTTCCGTCCAAAGGCGCTCGTTCTGGTTTACGGGCTCTGACCACAGGCCGCGCCAGAATGCTTCAGTGTCGGCCTGATTCGGTGCTGGACCCGTTCCACTTACCATTGGTCGCTCTAATGATTCATAGAGCCTCTTCTGATCACTCTGGAAGAGACGATTCTGGTTGAACCGTGTCGACCTCTCGGTATATCGCCGAATCCGCTTTCCCCAAGCAGCGATTCTCTGCTTCAGATCATCTATGCGCTCCGTCAGTTTTTGCGTTATATCCGGCTGGGACAAACTGACATTTGTCCCAGCAAACGCCATCCTGACGGTGCGCACAATTCTTGGCCTGTTGTTGCCTGATCTGAAGCATATCAGTCTGCCGATGAGAGCTCTAGCCTTTGCGATAAGTTCCTCAATTCTTCTTCTCCACGCTGGGATAGCGCTACTATGGCCAGTAGCGCGTCCAGCCGTGGAAACCTTGCCTATGATACGGCAGACTGCTTACTGCCGTATCATTATTACATACTTATTATTATATACTTATTTGACTAATAGCATATTATGTAGAAAATCAAAATTAAACATTGTATTGCCACGTTGCGGCTATATTATGGTTACAGACGAATAGGTCTTCTAGACCAAGAAAGGGGCACACTCACACGTAATACCAGCGTAAAAAGTGGTTTAATGCGTGTGTGTCTGTATCGTATATTTCCTTTGGCATGTGTAGAGCGGCGCAGCCTCTTTTTACTGAAACGAGGCATTCCATCTTAATTTTTAGGTGACAATGCATTCTGCAAATTGATTCTTAAAAATCTGTAAAAAATTACAACTCAGTTATAATCACACATTTAATAATTATCTCCAATCGTATTAATCTACTGTTAACCCAGATCCGTTCACATTCACAGCGTTTCAAAAGCATTTAATGGCTCTATTCACGTTGAGAGCAGTAAGCGTTAGATTAAGTACGCGGCCATTTTTTCAAAGTCGTCGAGGTGGTCCGTTAGCTCTTCAGAATAAAGTGCCCCGATTACTGTGGTTAATGACAAGCGAGCACCTAGCGAATGATAATATGTTGTACATTATTACGTAATTTAGATACCGCTATTATTTATAAGCAGTATATTTTTAACGTTCTCTAAAATTTTTCAAAATTTGTAAAACTATGTGGGTAGGTACCAAACTCTTAACTACTTCTACCGCCCAGCAGCAGTGCCAGCACCGCTATGTCCGTGTATGGTATAGAGAGTTAGTATAATAAGGCTGGGAGGCATTCCATCTTCGCCCTTGGAGGTGAGAACATGTCTTTAGCCTTATTTGTTTGAAGTTGGTTGCAGGTGTCCATAAGCTGCAGGAGCCACTTATCATCAGCTGTTTTTTCAATTGTTGATATTACGATCAATACATCAAGAAACCAGCTGTAGTTCTCTCTCATAAAATGAAACTAGAAGTCTTAGTCTCAGGGTCTTAGTCTCAAAGTAGCGTCAATGTTGAGCATTCCATGCGGCGAGCGTAAGACGTGTAAAACACACACTCTATTATTATATTGTCTTGAGTGGTGGCCGCTAAAAATATCTGCTAAATGCGACGCTGTATCACACGTTGGTTCGAATTGTGATACGAGTTTTGTTCCGGCGCTTTAAAAAAAATAAAAATTACTAAAAATATATTTGTAGTATAGAACTACTTACAAAATGGATTTCGCAGTCAGGTCAACTGTTTAGATGTTAAGCTCGGACTACCTTACAATGGGCTCTCGCTCGTAAGGCTCTGGAGTAATATTGATTAGGTACAATAAGAATAATGTACGGAAAGGGATGTGTAGCAGCGGCGCAAGAATTTTACTCTCACTTATCATCCCGTGGGTGTCGCAGTAGGACACGGACGGAAACTGTAGCACGAGATGGGCAGCAGCAGATTCCTGACAAAACCCAAAAATAATAAAAAAACTGCGGCTGCCAACCCGGCTGCTCAGCGTGGCAACTATGGTGAAACGCTGTATGAGGAAATGTATGGGAAGTACTATGTTCAGCAGTGGACTTTTAATAGGCTTTAATGAATGAATGAATAAATGAATAAAGTGACGAGTACTGCAATTTGGACTACAGTACATGTATAGGTAAGTTTCTGCTGACGAAACCGGACATAAACTTAGGTCGTGATAAAATAGCAGCATTAATGATAAGAAACAAGATGAATGTGGCAGATTTCAAGACCGGTGGTACGCTCAACTTAAAAATTTGTATTAAAGGTCGCTTAATAAAAAGGGTATAAAAGCAAACAAGATACTTTTTCGTTCACAACAAAGAATTGCAATTAATAAAGATTAAATTTATTAAATTTTGCTAAGCTACGTGACTACCTGCAGGCAGTGGGGTTTCAACCCCATTAACCTTTTATTTAGGGCTGAAATATGAAATGCCTCGTATTTCTGTGTTCCTTTTATGCGGAACAGATTTACCGTATTATATAATTTACTGATTTGAATAATTAAGTTAATTAAGAAAGATGATACAGTAATACTATATTTTTTTGGTCACAACAATTTATCATACAACGAAAAAAAAGTTAACAATAGAAATATATACTTGCTGCTTGTTTTATTTTTATGTTATGATCACTTTTAAAAAACAAATAATCAGCTTAAAGTATTTTTATTAGAAATAGTTATCTTCGTTCGTAGCGATGACAACACTTCAACATTTCGGCTCTTAATTAAGGATAAGTGTCTACGGCTTGTATTTCATAAGCATTCAGTCGCCGTCAGGTGGACTATGTCCTCGTATGTAAATCTTATTGATTTTAGCAAAATTTATTCATTTCTCGCGATCTTTAGTGCTTATTTTATTTCACTTTTATATTCTTTAGCGCGATTATTGGTTATTGTGATTATATGGACGTCAGAACTGGGCTATCACTAAGAAAATAAATAATAAAGAAATAACTAATACTAAACTACAAGTTTTTCAACGAGCAACAGAACGCAGCATGCTTAATATCAAACTACGACACCAACATAGAAATAGTGATATACGAAAGAGAACAAAATATCATTATTTTTAATTATATATTATGTGAAAAATTCAATTTAAAGAAAAAGACAATTAATTGAATATAAAATGCACATTTACTCAGACGTTTTATATAAGATGATGATAAGTTAATTTTTTACATTAATTTTGAACTTCTTTCTTTTATTTAATGCATAATGTACTCAAAAATAAGAAAAATTATTGTCAAAGGCTACGTATATTTAATTTATGTTATTTTGATACTTAGAGGCCAATTTAGGCTAAAAATATTATAAAAACATCACTAAATGTATAAGACAGCTATAATAATTATTTTTTGAATCTTTCTTTTGAGCCGTTGTCAATTATCAAAGCATAACGACTACACACACATTTTCTCCAAAGCCTACATATGAAAATCAATTGCTGTCCGTTAGTCTCGCTAAAACTCGCAAACAGCTCGACCGATTTTGTGGGTGGCGCTGTTGGCGAGATCCAGAAATCAATTGCTGTCCGTTAGTCTCGCTAAAACTCGCAAACAGCTCGACTGATTTTGTAGGTGGCGCTGTTGGCGAGATCCAGAAATCAATTGCTGTCCGTTAGTCTCGCTAAAACTCGCAAACAGCTCGACCGATTTTGTAGGTGGCGCTGTTGGCGAGATCCAGAAATCAATTGCTGTCCGTTAGTCTCGCTAAAACTCGCAAACAGCTCGACCGATTTTGTAGGTGGCGCTGTTGGTGAGATCCAGAAATCAATTGCTGTCCGTTAGTCTCGCTAAAACTCGCAAACAGCTCGACCGATTTTGTGGGTGGCGCTGTTGGCGAGATCCAGAAATCAATTGCTGTCCGTTAGTCTCGCTAAAACTCGCAAACAGCTTGACCGATTTTGTGGGTGGCGCTGTTGGCGAGATCCAGAAATCAATTCCTGTCCGTTAGTCTCGCTAAAACTCGCAAACAGCTCGACCGATTTTGTAGGTGGCGCTGTTGGCGAGATCCAGAAATCAATTGCTGTCCGTTAGTCTCGCTAAAACTCGCAAACAGCTCGACCGATTTTGTGGGTGGCGCTGTTGGCGAGATCCAGAAATCAATTGCTGTCCGTTAGTCTCGCTAAAACTCGCAAACAGCTCGACCGATTTTGTAGGTGGCGCTGTTGGCGAGATCCAGAAATCAATTGCTGTCCGTTAGTCTCGCTAAAACTCGCAAACAGCTCGACCGATTTTGTAGGTGGCGCTGTTGGCGAGAACCAGAAATCAATTGCTGTCCGTTAGTCTTGCTAAAACTCGCAAACAGCTCGACCGATTTTGTGGGTGGCGCTGTTGGCGAGATCCAGAAATCAATTGCTGTCCGTTAGTCTCGCTAAAACTCGCAAACAGCTCGACCGATTTTGTGGGTGGCGCTGTTGGCGAGATCCAGAAATCAATTGCTGTCCGTTAGTCTCGCTAAAACTCGCAAACAGCTCGACCAATTTTGTAGGTGGCGCTGTTGGCGAGAACCAGAAATCAATTGCTGTCCGTTAGTCTCGCTAAAACTCGCAAACAGCTCGACCGATTTTGTGGGTGGCGCTGTTGGCGAGATCCAGAAATCAATTGCTGTCCGTTAGTCTCACTAAAACTCGCAAACAGCTCGACCGATTTTGTGGGTGGCGCTGTTGGCGAGATCCAGAAATCAATTGCTGTCCGTTAGTCTCGCTAAAACTCGCAAACAGCTCGACCGATTTTGTAGGTGGCGCTGTTGGTGAGAACCAGAAATCAATTGCTGTCCGTTAGTCTCGCTAAAACTCGCAAACAGCTCGACCGATTTTGTAGGTGGCGCTGTTGGCGAGATCCAGAAAATCAATTGCTGTCCGTTAGTCTCTTAAAACTCGCAAACAGCTCGACCGATTTTGTAGGTGGCGCTGTTGGCGAGATCCAGAAATCAATTGCTGTCCGTTAGTCTCGCTAAAACTCGCAAACAGCTCGACCGATTTTGTAGGTGGCGCTGTTGGGCGAGAACCAGAAATCAATTGCTGTCCGTTAGTCTCGCTAAAACTCGCAAACAGCTCGACCGATTTTGTAGGTGGCGCTGTTGGCAAGATCCAGAAAATCAATTGCTGTCCGTTAGTCTCGCTAAAACTCGCAAACAGCTCGACCGATTTTGTAGGTGGCGCTGTTGGCGAGATCCAGAAATCAATTGCTGTCCGTTAGTCTCGCTAAAACTCGCAAACAGCTCGACCAATTTTGTAGGTGGCGCTGTTGGCGAGATCCAGAAAATCAATTGCTGTCCGTTAGTCTCGCTAAAACTCGCAAACAGCTCGACCGATTTTGTGGGT